GGGGGGGGGGGGGGCTCACTTTTTTTTTTAAATTTATTTTTGGCTGCGTTGGGTCTTCATCAGTGCGTGCAGGCTCTCTCTAGTTGCAGCGAGCTGGGGTTACTCTTCGTTGCGGTGCAGGGGCTTCTCATTGCAGTGGCTTCTCTTGTTGCGGAGCCCTGGCTCTAGGAGCGTGGTTTTCAGTAGTTGTGGCTCGCGGGCTCTAGAGTGCAGGCTCAGTAGTTGTGGCGCATGGGCTTAGTTTCCCTGCAGCACGTGGGATCTTCCCGGACCAGGGATGGAACCCATGTCCCCTGCATTGGCAGGCGGATTCTTAACCATCTGCGCCACCAGGGAAGTCCCGGGCCTCACTCTTAAGATGACATGTGAGCAGAAGTGAAAGGGTGAGCCATAGGGACATCTGAGGAAAGAGAATTCCCAGTTGAGGGAACAGCCAGTGCAAGGATCCTGACGTGGGAGCGTGCCTAACATCTTAGAGAAACAACAAAGAGACTCGTGGAGTAGAGAGAATAAAGAGGAGGTAAGGTCACAGAGGGAATAAGAGGCAGATTGTGCAGGTCCTTGAGCCACCGTGAGGACTCTGGCTTTTACTATGTGCAGGAGGAGCCAGCAGAGGGTTCTGAGCACAGGAGGCATGTGATCTATTTCAGATGTCCACAGGGCTTCTCCGTGGGGAAGAGACTAAAAGGGTGGAGTTAGGGCAGGAGGCCCAGTGAGGAGCCACTGCATTTGTTTAGGCCAAAGAGGAGGGTGGTTGGAACAAGGAGGCGCAGTAGAATGGGGAGAAGGGAGATTCTGGATCTGTTCTGAAAGTAAGAACCAACAGAATTTGTTGACAGTTTGGATACTGGGTGAGAGAGAAAGTGGGCAACAGAAGGGATGGGGTTTGCTATTTCCTGAGATGAGGAAGACTGTGGGAAGAGCAGGCTTGGGGCGGTGGGGAATCAGGGGTCAGGTCTTAGACACGTTGAACTTAAGATGCCTATTAGACATTCCAAGTGGAGAATGTCACTCGATGGTTGAATACACACAGAGAGAAGAATAGCAAATAATACAAATAATATATTAATATTAGAATAGTTATAAATTATTACATAATAATAATATTAACAACAGTTTGTTAAATTGACTCTGGCCTTTCCATCTGTTCCATCTCTTGCTCTCACAGTAGCCATATGACATATTAGGGATTATCCTCAGAGGGAGAAACAGACTCAGGTTTATTAATTTACTAAGAGAACACAGCTGGTAAGTGGCAAGAGTCAAGATTGAATCCCAGGTCTGTCCAACTTTGACTCCCAAACATTTTCTAATCTGCTAGTTGCTTTTCAATAAAGGGGGTGGATTGAATTGTATGATCCTTGAGTATGCCTTTCAGCTCTAGAGAGTTTTAAACCTCACAGTTCTGTGCTTTGAAGACAAAGAGCCTCCACATCTGTTAGGACTCTGTGCAGGCCAAGAGTCCATAGGTATTGAATGAGCAGGGGGGCTCTCCTAATTTTTTCTTCGAATGGTTAGTACCTGGACAGTCCCCAGACAGCCTTTCTGGTTTTGCTTATTTTCAGGCTCTGGGCAGAGCTTCAGGTAGGCAGCTAGGGAGTTGGTGGTTTTACTTTGTTAGTCAGGACTCCCTGGCTTAGTGAGGGAAGACACTTGCCAATGTCGCACACAGCAGATCCGGGTCAAGCATCTGACTCGACTCTGGAACTCCTTACACACCTAGGCACGTTCCCTGTGTCCCCGCCTCCCTCACCAAACCTCCTCCTCCACCCAGATTCCTTCCCTGGGACAAAAAGGATGTAGGCAGAGTTGGTTTTTAGGTTTTTTTTTTTTTTTTTATTGTGGGTGCATTTCTGGTGGCGGCGGGATAGGGCGGAGGGTCAGGACCTCCCAGGAGAAGGCAGAGGAGGGCAGGCGTGACGGGTGGAAAAGGAGAAAGGTGAGGGGAACGTCTTTACTCTCGGATCTTCAGCTCCCGCGCCATCTGACAGAGGGCGCAGGGCAAACAAAAGGTGAGGGCCGCCCAGTCTTTCCCAATATTGCCCTGGAGGGTGGGAGAAAGAGGTTAGCAGCCCTAACTTGCATCCCAGGAGGCCCGTCCCCAGCCCTCGGCTCCTCTGGTCCCGGGCCCGGCGAGTACCTGGATGTGGTAGCGCTCGCGCATGCCGGTGCGCAGGGAGTTCAGGCTTCCGGGCAGGCAGGGAGTGGCGCAGCACTCGCCGAAGTCGTCGGAGATGCGGCAGGCGAGGCACAGAGGGACGAAAGTGCCGCACAGACCTGGAGGGGACGCGGGGCTCTAAGGGCGGGGCCCACCGGGTGCCACCGGCCGGCTCTGCCTCGGGGAGGGGCGAGGCGGGGTCCGCGGCGCGCGGTTGAGGGGCCCAGAGGCAGCTGAGTGTTGGTGGAAGTGAGGGTCCCAGAGGGAATTAGGGGTCCGAAGAGTGGGGTTTCAAGATTGGAAAATAAGGTTTAAAGGGGGAGTTGGGGACCCAAGGAAGACAAGTGAGGGTGCAAGGGGGACGTTGAGGGTCCCAGTGGAAGTTGGAAGGTGTGAGGCCGGGATCCTAGGGAGTGTCGGGCGTCCCAGGAAGGCATGAGGGTTAGAGACTGGAAATTCAGGGTCCAAGGAAGGAGACGGGGAGTGGGGTTAGTAGGGCGAGGAAGGGGCTGGGGGTGACCTTCGCTCCCCTCCCGCTCTTTCCCCGGGCCTGGAGAGGGAGCGGCAGGCACTCACAGATGGGCATGTCATTGCAGCAGTCCAGGAGAGTGGTGTTCCAGTCACTGAGCTGGGACTGGTAGCTGCTGGCACACGGGGGCTGGCTGGTCACTGGGTAGGACATGGCTGCGGAGGGGAGAGGCGGGGGTCAGCGGGCAGCTTCGCAGCACCTCCTGGGCCCTTGCACCTATGCAGCCTCTCCCTCTGCCGGGCAGTCCGGGCGAGGCCACCAGGCCGCCCACTGAGGGGACACCACTGTGCCTCCCCCGTTCTTTATGCCACATCTGGGCATCGACACCCCAGTCAGTCCCTGTTGTTGGTGCCTCCTGCACAACTGGTTCGGCTGAGGGTGGGGTGGGCGGGGAGCCTGCAAGTCTAGGGAAGGTTGGCGCCACATGTGGGCGGGGCGGAGACCTGCCGCCGGTTCCTCCACGCCTGGGCCTGGGGAGCTGGGTCCCTGCACGTTGGGGCATCTGGGGTGCAGGCAGGCGCCGTCTGTCTTCGAAGCCAGGGTGCCCAGGGGAAGGAAGTGGCCATGTTCCGGGGACTGGAAGGTTTGGGGTTCCATCCAGCGATCCCACCTTTGCCTTTCACGTTGTCGTGCATCTCAAATTGCATCTTGCGGGCCCTGAGGAGGTGGCCGTTGGGGACAGCAGTCGTGGCAGTGGTGACAACGTCAGAATCTGTCCAAGGGATGCTGGATACTGGGGGAGGTCAGGGCAAGGGGCAGGGGCACTGGGGGCTGGGTTCTCAGGGGTAAGGATGCTGGGGAGAAAGAGTCATATCAGCTTGCCAGCTAGGAGACACGTGGGATAGGGTTGTATGGGGTTGGGGGCGAGAAACTCGCCCATCTCTGTACAGCTGCCCACAGACCCCAGAGGACCCTCCTCATACCAGAGGCAGAGCTGGAGAGAAAGACCAAAAGACAGAGACAGGCAGAGTCAGAGACAAGGGGAGAAAGAGATCAGAGGTAGGTGCCTATAGAGATGCCACCAGTAACACTCACACCTGCCCAGTACTGTTTTTCTGTAAGCCCATTTCACAGACAGCACACTGAGGCTCAGTGAGCTGAAGAGAAATGCCTCACATCTGATGGCCCAGCCAAGAGGGTTAGTAAAAGGGGGTACTGGCCCCCAGGACTTCCAACTTCAACTCAGTGCCATCAGGTTGAGAAAGGGGGGTGGGTCACAGGGGTTATTGAGAAAGACAGGGATGTCCAGAGAGGTAAACAGTCAGAGACATGTAAGGGGGCAGAGAGACGTGAGTGGAGGTGGGTGGGGGGAGAAGAGAGCAGAGGCACCAACCTTTGAGTAGAAGGCTGCGGGCAGATGCTCCTACCTGCAGGACTGCTACAGCGACGATGGAGACAGAGGTGTGGGTGACACCTGGGAACTGAGTTGCTTATATCTGGGCGGGCGTGGCCCTGGGTGGGGCTCTGACAGAGAGGCCCAGGGAGCCAAGCCGGTCTGGCTGACCCTCTTCCCCACACTGGGACTTCCCCTTCCTCCTTCTGCATCCCTCATTCCCCTCTCCCGCCTCCTGCCTGGCCTCAGAGGACCAAGGAAATCGTGGGGGAGGGGGTCCAAGGATGAGGAGCTGGGAGTAGAGGTCTAAAGGGAAGTGGGCAGAGAGACCAAGAGATGGAGAGAGGAGGCTGAGGGGCGGTGCAAGGGGCACAGCTGTACAGACACCAAAAGAGAGGGAGAGACAAGAGAGATAGGGAGGGAATGGGAGACAGAGACAGAAGGAGAGGCCCAGAGGGGAGAGACAAGGAGATTCAGAGAGATGGAGAGAGAGAAGATAGATGAGAAGACATGGAGAGAGAGAGAAAGAGATGCCGAGACAGAGAGGCACAAAGATCTGGGGAGAAATAACAAGGAAGGGGGAGAAGAGATTCAGAAAAAAGACACAAAGATAGAAAGGTGGAGTGTCAGGTGAGTGGAGGCGCCAGCCACTGGCCAGGCCAAGGCTTAGAGGGAAGGGCAACAGGGAGAGGAGAAAGGCTGGTGGTGCAGGAGAGTGCAGAGTGGGCTCCCACTGGGCCCTCTGCCACCATCCTTAGTGAGGTCCCGACTTCCCGGGGAGAAGGGGCTTGTGCCCCCATTCAGGGCCACCGGGCACATGGGGGGCAGTGTGTTTTGGGGGTGGCCCATGCTGGAACCAAAGCAAAAAAACACACTTCACCCAACTCCAAATTGGGAAGGGAGGAGGCTGGGGACTGAGAAACTTCTGGTTCCTGAGGGAGGTGGATGTGGTCTAGGACACTTGAGTCCTAACAGAGCAGAGGACTGGGGCCCTGGACTCCTGGGTCTGAGGGAGGGGGCTGGGCGTCCAGACTCTTGGGGTTAAGCTAGGCTGCATCCCTGAGTGGGGTAGGGGTCCTGGGATACCCAGACTGCTGTCTTCCTGGGAGATGAAAGAGCTGGGGGCCTGGAGGCCTGAGTCACCAAAGTCTCCCCTCAACAGGTCTGGCGGGGTTGGAGGTGACTCAGTGAAGGAAGCAGAATTAGAGCTGGGTGGGGTTCCCACCACGGGTGTCACTCCAAAAATGTACGAGGCACCGGAAAATTGGGGTGTCAGCTGCAGAGAAGGTGGTGCCGTCACCACACTGGGTATGAGTATGGGGTGATGAGGTGGACCACCCTGCTGGTCTGGGATCCCAGCTTTCCCCCCACAATCCTTGATTTCCTGACACCACCCAGATGGCTTGCTGCCCTTGTCCCCAGACCTAAGGGCAGCACTCAGCGTCTTGTCTGTCAGTGTCCGTCACTTGGTCCGGGAGCCTGAATGTCTGGGAAACATCTTCTCCCCACTTCTGTTCTAGGGTCCCTGTCCCCCACCCCGCCCCCACCCCCGTCTCCGCATCTTTGTCTCTCTGTCTCTGAATCTCTCCTTTCCTTCTTTCCTCATCTCTGCAGATCTGTTTCCAAATTTCTCCTGGTTCTCTGTCTCCTCATCTCTGAGTCTCTCTCCCCAAGCTCTGTGTCTCAGTGTCCTTATCCTGGAGCCTCTGCGTCCTCTCTCAGCATCTCTCCCCATCCTGAGGCTTACCCCATGGAGGCAGCCACAGAGCCCCATCCCCCAGCTGTCCAGACCATGGGCTGCAGGTGACTCAGGGTCAGACCCTAGGGCTCCCAAGACAACAACCTGAGCTGTCCTCAAGTTTCCTCTCCCAACTCTGACACAGCCTGGGGGCCCCAATTAGATAGATACAGAAACTCATGTACGTGAGGAAATCAGGACTGGGAAAGCTGTGAGGTGGCCTGCTTGGGAGTGAGCAGGAGGGCAGTGGCAGGAAGAGGAGAGCTGGGGGCTGAGGAGTGAGTATGGCAGCATCTCCAGGCTTCTGGCCTGCATCCCCCTCAAACAGGCTTGCCAGATAAAATGCAGGATGTCAGGCTTCCCTGGTGGCGCGGTGGTTGAGAGTCCGCCTGCCGATGAAGGGGACGCGGGTTCGTGCCCCGGTCCGGGAAGACCCCACGTGCCGTGGAGCGGCTGGGCCCGTGAGCCATGGCCGCTGAGCCTGCGCGTCCGGAGCCTGTGCTCCGCGACGGGAGAGGCCACGACAGCGAGAGGCCCGCGCACCGCAAAAATAAATAAATAAATAAATAAAAATTTTAAAATGCAGGATGTCCAGTTCAATTAGAATTTCAGATAAACAACAAATACTTTTTTAGTATAAGTATGTCCCAAGTATTGTGTGGAACATACTTATACTTAAAAAGTATTTGCTGTTTGTCTGAAATTCCATTTTAACTTGGTGTCCAGTATTTTTATTTGCTAAATCTGGAAACTTACCTTCAAAGAGGGGAATCCAAGTCCCTGGGTCTTTTCCCAGAACCCAGGAACCCCTCCTCAGAGTCCAGGTCCCACTCCCACTCCTCTCCCCCCCCTAGAATCCATGAATGAGGTACCCAGCCCCTACTCCCTCAGAACCCAGGAGTCCAGGCTTCCAGCCTCTTTCTCCCCAGAATTCAGGTGTCCAGGCCAGGTCAGGGTACAGTTGCCCGACGTGGGTTTCACAAGGCGGGTGTTGCCATCTATGGCACTGGCGGAACCAGTCTGGCTGAGCAGGCAAGTGAAGGGGCCCCCTTCCCATTGTAAGCCTGCTACGTCCTCCAGGGCCAGCCCGACGGGGCTGGGGGCGGAACAGTAGGGACTCAGAGCTCTGGATGCGTCACCGTGTCTGGGTTTGGGTGTGTTGTATAGAGATATATCTATCTCTTTGGTGTGTGCTTCTCTGGGTGCTGTGCATCTCTGTGGGGTTTGTCACGATGTGCCTCTCTTTGCATCTTCCTGTGTTCTGGGGTGTGACATGTGAGAAGGTCTTTTCTATTTGCGTGTCTGTATTGCCCTCCTGTGATTCTCCCTACTGTGCATCTGTGTTTGGGTGTGGTCTCAGTTGTGAAAGTTCCCTAATTCTGACTAGATTAAGGCAGGAATTATTATTATTATTATTATTCTGTTTGTTTTTTTGTTTGCGGTACGCGGGCCTCTCACTGTTGTGGCCTCTCCCGTTGCGGAGCACAGGCTCCGGACGCGCAGGCTCAGTGGCCATGGCTCACGGGCCCAGCCGCTCCGCGGCACGTGGGATCTTCCCGGACCGGGGCACGAACCCGCGTCCCCTGCATCGGCAGGCGGACTCTCAACCACTGCGCCACCGGGGAAGCCCAGGAATTATTTTTTGAGTGGTTGCTTTGTATGCTGGACTCCAGAGCCAGAAAACCTTAGTTCAAATCCTGATGGCCTCTGAATGGCTATGAAACCCTGGGCAAACCACTAAACTTCTGTGGGCTTCAATTTTTCCATCTACAAAATGGGTTGCTGGGAATAGAGTTGCTGAGAGGATTAAACGAGTTAATCCATGTAAAGAATTGCACCTGGACCATAGGAAACATTTTTGTGTTTATGGGGATGATGATGATGTTCTAGTTGCTGGAGATAACAATAGTGAATAAAACCAAGTCTTTGCTCATGGACCTAGTAGGGATTAGATGAATGGCCTGTCTATGGCTGGGCATATAACTGCATAACTGGGGTGTCTGTTTTGCATGAGGAATGGGATATTTCTGTGTGTTGTCAGTGCGAGTGATTCCACGATTGTGTGCCTGTGTGTGTCTTTGTAGGTAATTGCACATGCCGTGTGTGGATTCTCTGCTTGTGTGGGTGTAAATGCAAGATCACACCGAGCAGGTGTTGTGAGGACACATGGGGACAGAGGAAGAGCTGCACAGAGAGATGTGGATGTTTGTCCGTCCATTCCATAAGCATTTGCTGAGCCCCTGCAATGTGCCAGGACCTCTGGCAGGCACTGGTTCAAGGCCTGGGGGAAAGTAGAGAGACTTAGAGACCCACCAAGAAAGCTTCTGCTGCCCCAGGCTACTCTTTGTTGTGGTGCCTGGGCTTCTCTTTGCAGTGGCTTCTCTTGTTGCGCAGCACGGGCTCTAGGCACGCGGGCCCAGTGGTTGTGGCTCAGGGGCTCTAGAGCACGGGCTCACTAGTTGTGGTGCACTGGCTTAGTTGCTCCGAGGCATGTGGGATCTTCCCAGACCAGGGCTCGAACCCATGTCCCCTGCATTGGCAGGCGGATTCGTAACCACTGTGCCACTGGGGAAGCC